GCCAAGAGTCAGCTGACACAGTGCTTCCGGTGTCAGCTCTATGGACATGGCCAATCGAAATGTACAGCCGCCGCAAAATGCGTCAAGTGTGCGGCCGCTCTAGACTGCTCAGGCCCAAGTCTCTGTGTGTCATGTCTTGGAACTCCAACGGAGTGAAGAACAAGAAAGTAGAGCTCCAAGACTTCCTGGACAAATACAGCGTCGATGTGTGCCAGGAAACCATGCTAAAACCTGGAGATAGGTTCACACTTCGCAACTATCAGACACACAGAGCAGATAGGCCAACTAGGGGCGGAGGCACACTAATCGCAGTGAAAAGGTCCCTCCAGCACCATGAGATCGTCAAACCTTCGGCAGACCTGGAGGAATCCATAGTGGCTGTCCAAATGGAAAAGTCCGAGATCAGAGTCGGGTCCGAATACGTCAGTCCAAGCGCTACGTTGTGTCCCGAGGATGTTCAAAGGCTTTTCCCAGTTGGCAGACCAATGATACATGGCGGGGACTTCAATGCCAAAAACTCAAATTGGTGATGCAATTTCAACAAGCTATCAAACGAAGCCCGCAAAAACTTGTTTAAGATAGCTGCGCCGCAAGAACCCACGCACATCGCCCAAAATGGCAGAGATAACATCTTAGACATATTCCTGTACAAAAATGCAGGAAGACTGTACAGCCCCGAAGTACTTCAGGAATTGTCGTCGGACCATTTGCCGATACTCTTGCAAATTGGACCGAACCAAACCAACAACATCACTGCGACTAAAAGGATCGCTAATTGGCAGACTTTCCACAGCATAATGGAAAACTCCAGCAGGATCCCTCAGCCCACTACAGAGGACGACGTGGACCAGGCAGCAAAAAGTCTCACCAGGGAAATTAAAAAGGCCCTGGCAGCCTCAACAAGTCAAACCGTCGTACCGACCAACCAAATAGACCAAATACCTCCCTGGTTAAAAGCCAAAATCAGGGAGAAAAACCGGATACGACGCTGAGCCATGCGTACGCAAGACCCTTATCTAAAAAGGCAAGTCAACCGCCTCCAGACTGCGATCCAGGAAGACATGAAAGAACTCAGGTCGCACATCTGGGATGCTACCATGGACGAAATTGAGGCTGAAGAGAACAACCAATCAATCTGGAAACTGGCCAGGAACCTCACCAAAGGACCAAGGAGACCAATGCCACTAATCCAAGAAAACGGAATTACCACTGTGGATCCCAAAGAGAAAGTGGAGCTCTTTGCAAAACATCTAGAGCTCCAATACAGAGTAAACCTGGTTGATCACCCAAAGAAAGAGGAGGAAGTGGATAAAATAGTATCCGCCCACTTCCAAAACTGGCAGACCACCAAAGCCAAACGAGTCACGAATGAGATCATCCAGGGGACGAAGAGGAGAAAAGCCCCTGGACATGACGAAATCTCTAATGAGGTCCTTAAAAAGCTACCGAAAGCAACAATTGAGGACCTAACCACAGTGGCAAATACAATCTTGGACCTCCAATACTTTCCGAACATCTGGAAAAAGGCAATTGTGGTATTGGTTCCGAAGAAAGGCTCAAAAAGGAAACTGCTCACGTCCT